TCAGGTAGTGGGAGAGCATTTTGTAGTAGAGAACCTGTGGATTGCAGCAATTTGTAGAAGAACCACATCTGAGGCGACTGCGTTGAAGGAGACAAAGCATAAAGACAATCAAAAGAATCACGCGACTGGTCCGGGATTCAGCGGCCAGAGAACAGCTTTAGGGGCGCAGCCAGAGAGATGTGGAGCAATGAAACGGGTTTGGGCAGAGAACAGCGAGTTATATAATGAGGTTGCATGTAGGTTGATTTTACTGTTGATTTTGTAGTAAGCAAGGTTGGTGTGCTGCACTTTGTAGAACTATATGCAGACAAGCGCAGTATGAAAGTTTGGAATAGGTTCAGTTTTGAGCGTGTCGGAAAGTGCCCGCGACTTCAGTTGCTTTGGCTAATCTGAGTGCTGCGCTTGCAAGTGGCATTGCGCCATCAAGCCATGGACATTCCATTTGTCGTATGGTTTGGTCTTTGCGCTGTTTGCTTTCTCTTGGGAGTAGCAGCTGCCTCTTGTCCATCGTGGCCTGTGGCAAAGGCGGCGAACAAAGAGCCACAGCCACAGCCACAACCACCGCCCTACAGCACACCGAACTGGACAGCGGAGGAAGTCGCTGCAGCAGCGTTGCCAGCTAGGAGCATCACTCCAAGGCAATCCATGCTGAGGAGCAGGAGAGTGCATGAATTCAGAGACAGTGACAATGAGGACACTGGTGACGAAAGTGCGCAAGAAGAAATAGCCACTACAAAATGACTTTTCCAGATCCACCTTGAGACATTGATATCAACATAACTGCCCACTGCCCGCTACAAAATGCATTGTCCATGCATCTTTGATCAGGCCAAATCATCAGTCAAACCTTGGCTGACTACAGATTGCTATTTTATAGTGGCCTTGACGTCTATCATTCTGTAGTGGAAATTTTGTCAGGGATGAATGTGGTCTTTTTTGGTGCTTGGTAGTTGTATAATTGGACTGGTTGTTCAAGGTGAACGCCTTCAGCTCACGACTCCAAATTGAATTTTGAGGCCAATATCATATCATATCCCAAGTCTTACTGATTGGGCGAGGCAAGAGTCAGCAGCATGCAGGCCAGCTCTGGCGAATCTTCAATCAGGCGCAGCTCGTTATCCAGCTCAATCACAGCATCGCAAGTCAACCGTAGGAGCGAAGATGCTGCACTAAGCTGGGTGGCAACGTTGCCACTTTCCACTCGCAGCTCAGCTTTGAACTGCAAGATGTTGTTCATTATCCTTAGCGTTAATTTAGGGCAACTTGGATAACTGAAATTGATGAGCCTAAAACATCGTAAATGAACACCTGCAGCTTGCATTCCCCTTTCACTCTGTTCCCTACACCTACACCTCCCTCTCTCTCTCTCTCTCTCTTCGTTACCTCTGCAAAACCTGAAGAATCGGTGCCGGAATTCCAAGCAAACCCCAGCACCCCCAGACCGGAGAGAAGTTCCATGCGCAATGCATAAACAGCCCCAGTCCCATCGCAGTTCTCAAAGTCTTCAGTGTAGACCCGGAAAGTAGCATGGAGAAGGCCTTGGATGCGATTTAGGACACCTTTGGTCTCAAGAGGGCGCTGGACAGGTTCGGGACCTCATGTGGTCTGATGTGCGAGGGAAGCAGCTGAGCAAGTTTCCGGCGAGAACCAGCGGCATGCTGGTTGCAAAGACCACGGCAGGCATGCGTATGAATGCCAATGCTACCATCGTGAACACCACCTGAGCCGCGGGTCCAAACGCACCGGTGATGTTGAGATGCTGAAAAATGTAAGAATGGCCTTAGAAACTAGATAGCCCAGTGCCCAGGTGCAAACTTCTCTGGTGGTACCATCCAGGGCGTGACATAAAGCAGGGTGGCCAGGTCAAACAGGATGTAGAGCCCGTTCAATCCTGAATGCACAAGCTGGAGACTACCCACAGCTCCCCACAGCTGGTCCAACAGAGTCATAATCGTCGACATCTGAATCTTTGGGGCCTTAGTTTTGCCAAGGAACGCCATTTCACCAAGTTGGGCATCTGCCGCGCTACCACCTCAAATGGGAAGAATAGGTTGTTGAGTACATTGACAGGATTGGTTTGCACCTGGGAGGTGCTCATGGAGCAAGATCTAGCCGACCTTTTACCCACTACGCTCATTTTGAGGCACTCAGTTGCCGATGGCCTTGCATTGTGTGCGAGTCAGGTAAAGAAGAGAAACAAATTGCAGAAGGCTTGGCATAGCGCAACCAAGTGGCCATGCCGGCGGTAAGGCCAAGCAGTACCCACCTTTGCCCCTCCGCGAGCCACTGCTCCCCACCTGCCAGGCTCCTAGTAGCCTCTTGTTCCTAGTAGTATTTCCAGGAGCCCCTAGTAGCGTCCTTGCTCCTAGTAGCGATGCCCTTTGCTCCTAGTAGCGTCCTTGCTCCTAGTAGTAAGGCCAGGAGCCTGCCAGGAGATTGACCTGAATCGTGAAGATTGCCACGGTGCACACGGCTAGCAAGTAAGCAAGCATACCTCAGCCCAGCCACAGGATGTGACACAGCGGCAGCAGAGATCTCCGGACGCTCCACCAGCTTAGCTTTTGTGGCATTCCTCCCCCAGTAATTCGCCAAGACTCGGTCTGCCACCCAGCAACGGTATTCAAGAATTCCTGCGGAGTTCATGAGACCAACCTCCAACCACCTCAACGAGAAATCCTGGCAACCATTAGTTGGCCAAGGAAACTATATATATAAGTCAGCCCCTCCAAGCCATCCCAAAAATGGGGCCCTTTCGCCACTCTTGGGCAAAAGAACCTGATGATCACAAACAAACGGCGCAGTGACTGCGCCAGTGTGGCAAACCGTACCCCAGTCCTTCTGAAACGTGTTGATCGCGGCCACTTAAGCGTCCCACGCACAAAGAAAGCTTTACTGATCGGATAGACCAGTTCAATATCTCCAACAATTGGCTGCGGTGTGCCCACACTGCTTTGCAGAGTGGGGCCAATAGTGCCACCTCCAGTGCCACCGCAGCCACCATGTACGCCATGGTTCCTGCAAAACGGGGGAGCGCAAAACTCCCGCTTTCGCACTTCTCCGTTGGCGCCCTAATCCGTCCTACCTCTCGCCCCTTACATTATCTCTCATTGAATATAAACGCAAACAGGGGCGCAGATGGAACACAGCAATTGCTCTGTAACTGCTTCCAATGTTGATGGTGACAGCATCCAGGTCCGCTAGTTCCTTCCCTTGCGTTGCTGTCCAAACAGCCCAAGTGCGGGTGAGATTCGGGGTTCCATCGCTCAAAAGCAAGGTGCGTAGCGCGGCATTGATATTCTACTGATTCTACTGTTCTCCAATGCCTACAAGATCCTACAAGTGGGTGAGAACTTGTGCGCACACTCGAGAACTTGGCAATTGGCGTCTGTATCCTGTCGATGCTTTGAGCCAAAAACCTGCAAACGATGAAACCCTCGACTTTGAACTGGATTGCTAGTAGTAACAGGTGCCACGCTAGTAGTAACAGGTGCCTTACTAGTAGTAACAAAAAGCTATTAGAATTAAAATTAACATATAATTTACAAGCGGTTTGTCCCTAGCCTTAGTAGGGGGCAGGGGGATGCCTTCGGGCGGTGAGGTGAAGACGACGCACTTCAAGGCCGACACTCATTCGACTGAGCGTTCTTTGTTGGTCCAAAATGTGTCAAACCACTACTGTAGTGTCCTTCGACTGGAGCTTCTGCTGCATTGGCTTTAGAGCATCTGTTCTGGCCTGTGCAGTGCGAGAGACGCGAACAACATGCAAAAGAAAGAAGCTTTCATAAGCTACTGCAAGATACCGGGAGCATTGAACACATTTTAGTCTGGATGTGACGCTATCCCAACTCCGAACATCATCTGGTTCATATGCCAGCAATGGTTCATATAGTCAATGTTCATCCATGTTCAATACTTCCCCCCCAGACTCCACCCGATAGCGGCCTGCACCTTAAGCTTCCTCCGCTCTGTGCGGCTCAGCGCATGACTCTTGGCATCTGGGCCGACCTCCAACCGCATCTCATCTAACGGGATGCAAACAGTATGGATGCTGCCGTCAAACCCCGACGCAACAAGCAAAGACTAGCTCACATGCTGGCGGACTGACCCATCCTTGGATTGTAAGGGTGTTCGTCTGACGAATCGCCAAAGGACTAATTCAACGGAAGCTTTTCCCCTACTGCCACATGAGGCCCCAGCAGGGTCGCATAGCAAGGTGGCCATCCTCCCACTTGACCCTCTTTAGACTGAAAAGAGCTGCAGCTGCAGAGCGGGTTGCGAGGAAAAAAAATGGCACAACAACCAATGAAATGCTGAATGGCGTGCAAAGGATTGTCAGAATGCACCGCTGATCAGGCCACATCAAAACATCTCCTTAAGATGGGGCATGCCCCTCGCCTGCTACATCCTCCCACACCATTTGGGAAGGTCTACACGGATGGGGATGATGAGGACTATTGAGGCATTGAGGACTGTTGATGAATGAGCTGAAATCAGACTATCTCTCTCTCTCTACACACGAGACGGCACCCGACCTAGAGCACTTGGCCCCAAAGCTGCTAGCCAAGTGCGGACGCCAAAAGAGAAGTCGTTCCCGTCGTCGTGACAGCTGCAAAAGCAACAGGAAGAAAGAATGAACTGACATTGTTTACAGCAATTGATAATCGTAGCACATTACATGTCATCAGTATTGGTGTCAATGAATTTTGTATTTAAAAAATGAAGGATGAGAATATATAGCGAATAGTAGTTGTTCAAAAACAGAGACGCAAAAAAGGTCTAAAAGAGGCAAGGGCCTGATTGAAGGGGGGCCCTTCTTTTCTTCCTCCCTTTTATAGTGCAACCCTGGAAGCCAGTACCTTTTGCGTTTGCAGGCTCCGGAAACCCTTTTTCAAGCACAAAAATTGAACCACCGACCGAATGAAGAACCTCCACACTTTGGAATGATTGCTTTGGACATGGAATAACGTTCTTCAGAACTCACTTCAATCCTTCGGACTCTGGGATGTCGAATGTTTCTCATGTCTTCCAATGTCTTCCATCAAGAGGGCCTCTTTCTGGCTCATTGCCCAAAGGCGGCGCAAAGCCCATCGAGCACCTCAGACTGCTGAGCAGCTTGCATGTATGCCATGTTTGGGGGGTCAAAATGGGAGACAGCATCAAGATACCCCTTCAGAAACTCCCAAACCATGAGACAAGGAACTTAGAAACGGGCCAAAAGCCATGCCGGTCAGGTTTTTGCTTAGGACATGTTGCTTCGCTGAGCCTATGCACTTGTCACATCATCACCCAAGCGCACAAATACTGCGAAGTCCTGGCTGGCAGTTCGCAAAGGCAGAGGCCTAGTTCCAAAAAAATGCATCAAATGTGAATAATGCTTCCAGGTGGCCTGTGCTAAAACCCGGCTTTGCGTCAAATACGTATATATATATATATAATACGATGGGCTGTTGATTGTGTCTAGTCTGCTCTTATTTAAGATTAGACCCGCAAATGCCAATCATCTTCACCCCGGTGCCTCCCATGGGATTGCTCCCTGCAAAGGCAGAACTGGCTGAGTTCCAGGCCCTCAGGCTGACCATGGACGACAAAGCTGTGGGCACAATGCTGAGTGCCCAGCCCAGGAGCACCACCGGAATGCAACCTTCAGTCTCGAGAGTTAATAGTAGCAAATAGATGCAAATAGCTACTAGTAGTGATGGCCTCCACCTAGTAGCGTCCTTGCTACTAGCCGGCAACATGATGGACAATGGATTCGCTTTGTTTTTTTCCGTCATCCCAAACACAGTCAGCCGCCTGCCGTCAGGACGTCGGAGAGTCGCTGGCCGAGGGCCGGGGCATCACCCGGGGCCACCACGCAAAGCTCGCTCCTGCGGTACCTCATGACACCCGTCGGCAGCGGCGCCGTGAAAGTCTAAAGCTTCTTGTTACTACTAGTAAGGCACTTGTTACTAGAAGCGATGCACTTGTTACTAGTAGCTTGTCTCAACTTCATTGTTTTGAAAAGACCCCTTAACTACAATAACTAGGCGGCTACTGATACGCATATAAGTAAGGGCTGGACGTTACGCAGGATAGAGCTTACTAATGCTTACTAGCAACTGGATTTTGCTTGGAATCCGGGCATTCCGAAATGGAGTTGGCGATCATTCGACAAAACAAATCCCTCAAAGCTGACACGCAAAAGATCCCAAAATATCCCAAATGCGGTATCTGAGTTAATTGTCATTGTCTGGGCTCAGCGGGTGGAGCAGAATCTCTGCAGACCTCTCTACATGCATCGTCGTGTTGCATGACATCCTGGGAGCTCCAACAAGTGATGCAGCCACCAACGTTTCGCCTGCAGAAGTAGACCTCAGTCAAGATGGCCCTCAACAGCTCCCAGAGCAGGTCTGCGCTAACAGTGCGGGTTCCCTTCCATAGCACAGTAGCACCCACTCATAAGCTTGTGTCTCTTGCACGGACCATACACCCCAATTGAGTTTCAAGCGTTGTGTGTGATTCAGCGGCTCCGCCTTGTCAACTTGCACCCAAGCCTTGAGAATTGGAGCCACCGTTCGGTCGAGGCAGTCGGCGCCCACGAGCTCTTTTGGAGGTCCACGAAGTTCACTTGTTTATTGGAGGAATCGGCTCCACCCTAGTAGCTTTTTGTTGCTAGTAGCGATGCCAGGAGCCCCTAGTAGCGTCCTTGCTCCTAGTAGTAAGGCCAGGAGACCACGGTAGCTTCTTGTTTATTTCAGCTTTGCCAGAGGGCTGTGCCATCGCTAGTATATTGGAGGCCATCGCTAGTAACTGCTATATAGTATATAGGTTCCACATGGTTCCACGTCTTGTCTTAAGCAGGCCCCATTCCAACGTCCGATTCCTCAAGGAGTAGGATGGAGGCATCGCTAGTAGGATGGAGACCATCGCTACCAATAACAAGAAGCTACTAGGGCCTCCTGGCCTTACTACTAGGAGCACAGGACGCTACTAGGGGCTCCTGGCATCGCTACTAGTAACAAAAAGCGTGGAGCCGATTCCTTATACTCCTCGCCGGTGAACCCGGTGGAACCGAGCTGCACGGAGCTGAAGCTTGGAGGTCTTCACGACCGTGGCGCCGCTGCCTATGGCGCCGCCATGCTCCAAAATGGCGGCCCTGGACATGCAAAGGAACTGGAGACCTTGCTACTTAAGGCCAGGAGACCCTAGTAGCTTCTTGTTATTAGTAGCGATGGGCTCCACCTAATAGTGTCCTTGTTACTAACTCTACAGCCAGTTTGGTTCAACCCGCGACTTCACTACAGGAATGATTGTAACATCTTGCAAGGGAAGGGACACCTACAGTCTCAGACGTAGAGGCAGTCAGTCAAGTAAGCCATTGTTATGTTCAATTTATGGCCTAGCCTTGTTTCCTGCCATGAACATGGGAGAAACATGTTATTCCCCTCAGAACATATGACTTGACGCTTTCCCAATGTCCAACAAACCTTGAAACCTCTGGGTGCACCATTCCGTCCCATTGCCCCCTCACGTCCTGCCTCAAGAACAGCAGTCGTTCATGATTCCTAGCCTCCAGTGTTAAGTACAACTATCGACACAAAATGTCAGATGTTTCATTTGGTGTCATTCTCCGGCCTGTACGGAACCCACAAAGCTGAGCCTGATATTGCGTGGTTCCTGCACAAGATCAAGAGAAAAAACAAAGTGTATGAACATGTTGCCCGCAATCAACACCTCTTGCTGCTATGATGCTAGGTGCAGCTAATAAGCGCCACATGCAAAGTCCGCACAAGTCCGCATACCCATCGCCATTGCAAAGGAGTACAGAAAAACATTCTCGAAATGACACAACCAAGAGTAACCATCGACACAATGTCCGCATGCGCAAAAGGACCGAGATTGTTGGGGGTCCCGAGACCAACGTTGGGCAAAGTGCAAGGGAACGCAGTCTTGCATCGCTGATGTCGGTTTGGTTCTCCTGCACATAGTTTTCGCAGCCTTCATGCAAAGTGAAGGGAACATTCACCACGCGCCTGTGCGGCAAGATGCGGCAAGCTTCCCAAGCACATCTGGATTGTGACTGGGAGGTATCTCAAGTCTCAACTCCACAAGTCTTGATTGTTTACTTCCGCAGCCACCAGCTCACAAGCCTCGAGTTGTAGAGATTTCCAGCCAAAGCCCAAGAACCAGGTCCTTGAGAAAGCTCCCCTGGCGAGTTTTGGTTGCGGTGTTGGCGCAGTGCAAGCTCCCGGCCTGTAGTGAGGATCGCCATGTTGCGTGT